TTGTTTTCAAAAATGTTGAATGTATGCCACTTTATACATGAAACAGACCTATCTCGAAAACCCATCATTGAGATTTACCTCATCCTAACAGTAATTTGTGCAAATCAACCAGCTCTACAAATCAACATTGTAATATTTCACACGACAAATCATTTATCATAATCTATAAGTATAATCTATAATGTATGTTGGAACTCTCGCACTCCCGACTAAATCGAAGTCATCGAATCCATAAAATTTATATGGAATTAATAGCTCAATTACTTCGTCAAGATGTTAATTGACGAATATTTCCAGATTTAAACATGTAATTTGGAGTCAAATTAAGATGAAATAATCTCAACTTTCTGAAAAAAAATCCCGGCTTAAATGGAGATAAGCCTAAAATTGAACGCATTACAGCAGCCATCATATCGTGATCCGACATCGTGGTCCGATAGTTTCATTGCGTCTTAATATGCGATATAAGCGAACTGTCCGGGTTGCGACCAACAAAGCCTAATCCTAATATCCCCCCTGCCCCGACTGACCTCTCTCCACATCCTGCCCACTAAGCCTCACATGGTAGCCCTCCATGAGGAGGGAGCCAATAGCCAGCGCCTCGCCCAGTGCCCAGTCTGCCTGCTGAGCCTCCACCATCTTTGTTCGTCCCTGTGGGTGTGGTCAGTAAAACACCCCACTTTAGATCATCAAACTTAATAAAGTCCAGAAATATGCACTCTAAAACATTAGCATTATTTCTACTTAAATAGCATTAAGAACAAAGGCAGCACTTAATAACGTCATATTATTTAAGAATTTTCGAATATATAGCGAACTTATTTGGCACCCGTCCTACGAATATTTCACCATTTTCGCAACAACAATAACACGTACCTTCAGAATACGCTTGATTCCCGGATGAACCTTGATGGGGGGATCAGCACTGAAAGTCTCTGCTATTCTCTTCAGAACACTGTCGCTGATACCGGTGGGGGGCGTTTCACGTAGAATTGGCACTTTGTTCGCGTCACACTAAGAGGGAGACTGGTGAGGGACACAATATAATATACAGAATATAAAGTGTGACTGGTTGCTCTATTGATCAGGCCGAGATTCACGTTCACTTATTGAGTTTAAACGTCTTGTGGTTGTTTATTCACCTACTGACATAAACTGTTATTACAACACTGTTGAAACACTGTGACATACTCTGTTACAACACTGGTAGGTATAGAGGGGGAAAGCAAATATTACCTCGAAGAAATGGTCCCAGGGACTGTCCAGCCAATCAGTGAGCTTCATCTTGGTGATGGCAGTACTCTTCTGATAAGCTTCGTTCATGATCTTATCGAATGCTGCTATCTCTTCCTGATTAGCGAGACTCAATTTAGTTCTTTAATTTGTCGAACAGATAACTTAGCCAGATATATTCCTTTTGCCTCACCTGCACCCAAACATGTCAAGAAGGTTAACTTTTTTAGTTCTTCTAAAAACGTTAACCTTGCACACTGACTTTTGGCCCAGGGTGGGCCAAAAGTCAGTGTGCAAACGTTGGGTCTTATACCTCCGCCGTGTTTTATATTTGAGAGCTGTTGCTTTGCAGATGGCATACTGTACTTACTGGTTCGAGGATTCCGTCGTCAAAATTTGAAAATTCGAATATTTTAGACCACGCCCATTCAATATTAAAACACCTATATTGTTTTCTCTGAACATGCTGAACGCCTAATTTTTTCAGAGACGGTAGATTATTAAATGTTGCATATGATCTGAAAACATGAGGCAAAACGGATTAGAAATGACGAAGTTATCAAGCATTTTGTGTATCTCGTTAACAAAATTGACTGGGTGATTATGTGACACCGTGACACGACACCTTAATTAACAATTCCCATAATGTTTAACGGGGTAGTTAACGGGGTCACCTTATCACGTGATTAGGTAAACCAATCACCTGATCACACGTAATGAATAAACTCGTTATGCTTCATATCTCGGTCATCTGAGAAGCTACAGTTCTAATTCTTTCAGGACAAACGTAATTCGAATGGCCAAACACAATTCAGTAACATTTAGCTTGATCCGACTATCCAAACTATCAAATAAATTTGAAAATGAACCTCCATTTGAAAAAAATGAACGCGAATATTTTTCGAGTTGACAAATTCCTCGAACCAGTGGTGGTACTAAGTCATACCAGAAGGAAGTATTTCAATTGGGCACTAAGTGACTGAGCTATTAAGGCCAACGTTTGCACACTGACTTTTGGCCCACCCTGTATTAGTACATTAATTATTATGAACGCTTCAATAAGTACAGTATGTGACTCTCAGCCCTGCAGAACTCACGTCAATATCAGCTTGACAGACAGTTCCCTCCGCAACCAACTGGTCAGCATATTTGTTCAGCACATTGGGCAGCTCCCTGATTCTCTTGTACATGAGGGGCTGGGTAAAACTGGGCTCGTCCGCCTCGTTGTGACCGTTTCGTCGGTAACACACTAGATCTATCACGACGTCCTTACCTGCAAGAAGTTATTGAAAACTGGACCCATCAACAGATGGACACGTTCATTGAAGTTTGAGGATATTGGTAAATATTAGTGACCCTACTAAATGGCACGATGATGTAAAATGTGTCACACTATGAAACTATATAAACCCTCTAACCCTAAGATAATCGTTTCATCCTCTAGATAAACTTTGTCGCATAACGATATCTTTATCAGACGATAAGATATCGCTTAAATGCGGCCGGCAGTGAGTTGTAAACTTTGTCACACTATAAAAACGTGACGGAGTTTATATGGACCCCTTGTTGCCGTGTTTGACCAAATTTTCGAATTTCCAATTCATAGAATAGCTGTATATGACTATTATCTACATATTTAGCGACTTTTTTCCTTAAATGGTAGCACCATGTAAACTCCGTCACACATTTAAGAAATTTATATGAGGGATGTTTATGACATCCTGACAAGAAATGCCGAATAGTCTAGCATTATTTTATGAGCTGAATGTGTTTGGAATTGTTCACATATTTCATTGTTATACGCAAATACAAATACAGAAGGCAGAAATAGGTAAATTTAGTCACATAAATTTGTATGATATCTCAACATGTGTAAAATTAAGTAAATATTAGTATACCAACTTAAACACCCTATATTACGTACTATGGATCAATTAACAATATTTCAACCATACGCCAGTTATATAAATTATTATATGGCAGTGATATGTTAACATTGAATGAATTTCAACACCTGAACAGGGTAAAAATTTGTAAATTTCGTCACAAAAAAAATTATAACTTCATTTGCCCCGTGTTGGCAAAATAACTAATTTATCGACATAGTGATGGTGATAAAGTAACATTATATACTAATTGAGGTAGGATTCTTCAAAATAGGGGCAAGAAATGTAAATTTCGTCACATCAGACATTGCATTAGTTAGGTAGATTTTCTTTAATATCAACTCCCCTTATTATAGTTGGAATGGATTTATACAGGAAATATAGAAACCCATGCCCATTATTCATCACATTGAAATTATACTGTTGGGGCAGGAAAAGTAAATTTCGTCACATTTCGGTAAATTAGTGATATCAAACTCAGCATTGTTAAACTTGAGTTCTGATTTGCTGAAAAATAACCTACCAATAATTCCTGGAAGAATATTGAATTCTAATCGGGGTATGGTTCTTCAAAATAGGGTCAAGAAATGTAAATATCGTCACATACGTCATTGTAAAATTTAGATACAAGTTTTCTTTCACATCAACAGTCCTAATTATAGTTTGAAATGATTAATTCAGAGATAAGGAAATATAGAAACCCATGCCCATTTTTCATCACATTGAAATTATACTGTTGGGGCAGGAAAAGTGAATTTCGTCACATTTCGGTAACTTAGTAAAATTAAACTCAGAATTGTTAAACTTGAGTTCTGATTTGTATTGCTGAATAATAACCTACTAATAATTCCTGGAAGAATATTGAATTCTAATCGAGGCATGTATCTTCAAAATAGGGTCAAGAAATGTAAATTTTGTCACATCAGCCATTGCATTAGTTAGATAGATTTTCTTTCATATCAACTGCCCTTATTATTATTGTGACAATTTTTACATCAACTGCCCTTAACTTGAATCAGCTCTATCCGTGCATCGTCCTTATATACAGTTTTCCCGCCTTCTAAACCAAAATCAGATATAAATGATTTCGGCAATTCACCCAAAATTTTAAATTCCATATAATGTGACAGAATTTACATCATTTCCCAATAAGTACATGTATTTGCTAACTTTTCAAAACAACATATTTTAGGGCTATGATTGGTAGAAGAACCATCAAATAATGAGTTGAAAGGGTTTTGAGGACACCTCACAGTAGAAAAGAGGTATCGTATTCTGAGTGTGACAAAGTTTACGAAATATTGCCTTAAAACCGTTCGATCCCTGCCCTTTAGCCAAATGTTGTATCATAATTGTTAGAATGACCTAATCTACTATATTTTAAACCAAAAAATGCTAATTGGGCAGCTATGGTTAACACAGTCACAAAAATGTGACATTTTTTACATTATAGTGCCTAAAAACAATAAATTGTATTTCTGAGCCGTGTATATGGAAGTATGGGTCACGTGGCTAATGTTCAGAACTTCTGAACACGCTATTTTTTTTTGGTTTACCAATATCCTTAAATCTTCAACATGAACGTGTCCATTTACGATTTCGTATCATTTTGTGACGATGTTTACATCAACTGCCCTATACTTCAATCAACTGTATCCGTGTATTGTCCTCATATAGAGTTTTCCCGCCTTCCAAACCAAAGTCAGATATAAATGATTTCGGAAATTCACCCAGAATTTCAAATTCCATATAATGTGACAGAATTTACATCATTTCCCAATAGCCAAGTGCATGTATTAAATGTATTTGTTAACTTTTCAAAACAACATATTTTAGGGCTATGATTGGCAGAAGAACTATCAAATAATGAGTTGAAAGGGTTTTGAGGACACCTCACAGTAGAAAAGAGGTCTCGTATTCTGAGTGTGACAAAGTTTACGAAATGTTGCCTTAAAGCCGTTCGATCACTGCCCTTTAGGCCTACATTGCATCATAATTGTTAGATTGACCTAATCTACTATATTTTAGACCAAAAAATGCTAATTGGGCAGCTATGGTAAACAATGTCACAAAAATGTGACATTTTTTACATAATAGTGCCTAAAAGCAATACATTTTATTTTTGAGCAGTGCATATGGGAGTATGGGTCACGTGGCTAATGTTCAGAACTTATGAACATGCTAGATTAAAATATGTTAAAATTAAACCACTATCGTCAAAAACGCTGTTTTAGAAATTTACCAATTTCCTCAAACTTCAATGAACGTGTCCAGATACAACAGATACATCAGCACAGTCGTTCTTTTCTTAATTGGATCCCTAATTTTATCTTCGTGCACAAATTTGCTTGTTCCTCAGCAATACATGCCTCCTGAGCAGAAGAGGCCGAGGTTCACGTTCATTGTTACAGCTAGTAAAGTAATAATAAAAATCGTCTCAACATTGAAAGTAATACAATTCGATAAGAGAATTGGTACACAAGTTTCAAGATATCTCCTTGAGTTTAAAAGCACATCTCACCCCAGTCGGCGCGCCAGTTAGCAGCCACGTTGCACACGTGCATAACCGCCTCCGGATCATCAGCGTTAACGTGAAGTATGGGAGCATTAACAACTTTGGCAACGTCAGTGCAGTAGGGAGAGGACCGGGAAAATCGGGGATCTGTTGTGAAACCCACCTGGAGCACGAGATTGATAAAATTTCAACTATTCAATGATTTCAAATTTTGGGTTTTAGATTTCAAAGTAAATTTAATAAATTAAGAACGGAGGTTCATCACTCAAAATTACGGGATAGGGATGGCATCTGATAATCTCAGGTTGATAAAGTGGATGGTTATTAACCTGATTGTTGACTACGATGTGGATTGTGCCTCCAGTAGTGTAACTTGGCAGGTCACTGAGATGCATAGTTTCGTACACTACTCCCTGTCCACTGTACGCCGCGTCACCGTGCAGTAGGATAGCCATGGTCTGAGAGGGAGTGTTGTTTAAACAGCTTGTTACAGTGTAAACCCACAATTACATTTTATGCATTATTGCTGGTTCAAAGCATAGAATACTTCAAAATTTCAGCAACTCATTATCAGATAATAGCGTCAAGTCTAACAAGAGTAAGTAAGAGTCATCTTGTAGACTAGATGGTAGCGGGGGGGGGGGGGGGGGGGGGGGGGGGGGGTAGTTTATTTGACAAACCTTCTGTCCAGCTTCATCGCCATTAAAGAATTGGGTTGCTCTGACTTTACCACAGACGACAGGGTTGACAGCCTCTAAATGCGAGGGATTGGCGACTACCGATAGCTCTACTTCTTTGTTGGTCAGGTGATTGATACGGCGGTGATACATCCCAAGGTGATATTTTACATCACCAGAACCCTGAAAAGTGAGATATGAAACATTCCCTCAAGTGGCTTTATTGATATAGGAATTAAAGCAGGTGCCAAATCACCCAGGCACAATATATTCTTAGCTAGAACAAAAAAAACTGTACTAAAGAAAAGGCTGTACAGAAAAGAACACTATCCGCATTCAACAGCCTCCCAAACCTCATCCTCTGGTGTCAGATCAGGGTTGAACTGGTTGAAGAGTTTCTCAAGTTCCTTCCTGCACACGTTAGCCAGCACGTTAAGTCTGCCTCTATGTGGCATTCCTATCACGAAACTATCAACCCCCCGAGAGTTAGCAATGTCGATTATCTGCTTCATGGCTGGGATCAGTACCTGAACAAGGTTTAATTTCAGGGTTGTTTGTTCGTTAACATGAAAGAGAAACAGTATCTGTTAGAGGGCTGCATTTTCCAGAAATTTAGGAAATACATCCTTGTGCTTCCCACCCAGCTATATTAATTGAAGGCTATAATACCGAATGCCCTATTGTCCATTCTCTTAAATCACAACAATATTAAATGTTAAAATTACCTCACAGCCCTCCAACCCGAATCTTTTCTCACTAGGCCATTTCTTCGCAAGATACTCTTCAAATCTGGTAGATCGAACAAGTCGGGCTAATAAGATTCGCTTCTCTTCACTGGTCATGTTCCTTATTCCGGGTTTTTCGACCCACTTTCTGATATACTCTCCTGGTAAATTGAGATGTAAGCGTGGGAATAGCGCATATTATAATTAATACTCGGCTAACGAGTAGTTCACAAGTACTGAATGTGGGTGTGCCATGAATGCACAACCCAAAGATATGTAAAAGGTAACGTTCACGTCGCCAAAAATCTTTAGGGTATCGACCTCATCGCCGTTTGTCAATTGTAATGATTATACTGTAAAACACCAAATTCTATGACCATTTAATTTGCCAATTTTGGTGCGTCAGATTTGATGTTTTACAGTAGTAGTATAGTCGTCATATATTTGTATAGTATAGTATTTGAATAGTGCTATAATCCATTAATTCCCTATATGAATACCTTACAAGACATATTTATGGCGGCCTAATTTGCGACGACCGAAATTTTGGCGGTCCGAAAATATGGCGAAATTGAACAAAAACCGTCAAATTTCGGACGACACAGAAAATAAGGGTATCTTTCATCATTTTTTGTGACAGTAAGCAGTAAGGAAATTTCTGAAATTCGGTAAAATCATGTTCAAACTTAGTCTGTATTAAGACTGTAAGACTTTCATGTTAGCACATACATGTATTTTAATGCAAATTTAAACTGTATTGCTTGACATTCAATTCGTCATTGGTGTGGTGATAATTTGTCCCAAGATGCCAGAATTTATTTATTTATTTTGGTATTTTACTTGATATTACTTTTTAGAAACAAAATAAAGCAGTGAAGGCACAGTCATTGAAATAAGCTAAAAGATAATGCGACGGATTCTATTACGACGACCGAAATTTTGGCGGTCCGAAAATATGGCGAAATTTTCGGAAAACCGCCACATTTCGTACGTTATAAATATGTCTTGTAAGGTAGGTCGTTCAGTGGCGTAACGTTAGTAGCTGATTTAACTTGGCGCCCAAATTTTTTGTGTCCCTAAAAAAAAAAAAAAAAAAGGTCGGGTACCTTTTTTTGGCGCCCCCTACAGCTTTTTTGCGCCCCTGGAGCAAGAAAAGGACCCCAAAAATTTTTTTCACACCGACTGAGCGCTAAATTGGACAGGAGAATACACCAATAAGGCGTTATTTTCAGTGAGAGGTTATAAAATTCAAGAAAAATTCAAGAAGAAACCTAGGGGCGACATTTCGTTGAGAAAGGGCGCCCCCCGGCGTAGCCGGGGGGCGTTATACTAAGACTATGAGTGAGATCAGAATCGAACTGATTGTTTCCGCGCGCGTTAAATTTTGTGATGCGCGCATTGTTGCGCGACGTTGTCAACCATATTGCCTTTCGCGTCATGTGAAAAGTATGGAAAATCTACGGTAATTTCAGGAAAAGTCGTGGAAGTTGGAGTACTAACTGAATTGTGATGCAATCAATTTAGGAATTAAAAATTAGAGTCAGTTCCAACCGCACTACATAACTTCCCATTACTTTGACTTACTTGCCCCAGGATCGTGCATGTGCATGAACTCTGCACCAATAGATCCGGAGTATACTCTCTGAAAGAAAAACAATAAGCATTTTGTGTTTAAGTGTTTAAATATACATTTTGCCGTGCACTCCTTTTTGCCGATAAATCAGTTAAACTTTATCTCAACTTACAAAATCTAGCTGTAGCAAGTACATGTGGGCAGAATTTTCAATATACCAGAGGATGCGGCAAGGAATTTATGCAAACCCCCTCCGGTCGACTCAGCCGAATGATCGGAAAGTACGTGATTGACGGTTAATCGAAGAAGGGCCCTGTCGAATCTTCTTAGGGTATATCTAGAATCTTCTTAAAGCTAGTTACCTCACGGTAACCTTATCTGTTATGACGAAGTAAATGGGTCTGTAACTGTAAAAAGAATGGACTGTTTTATTATTGAAATTTTGGTCTAGAAAGTTCTACCTCCAGTCGGTTGATAGTCTCCCTGAGAGTGAGCTCCCTTTCATCACCACCAAGATACGTGTACTTTGGCAGTTGAAAGTACTGGTCCATATCTTGTTTTGCTGAAAGTATGAACTGTGTAATATCCCGCTCGCAATATTATTCCTGAAATCAGATACCAATTTTGAGAAAATGCCAGGTTATTTTTACATGCGATACTTAGGAATGTGTCAAATGTGTCAAATAAAGAACTTAGTAATTTGTGCAGTATTGTATACAGTGTGGAACTCTTGGTATGTATAAGTATACTATGTGACTGCTACATGGATCAACTGTTAGATATTTAGCAACATTACTCATTATGACAGCTCATTAACTTGCAAACTAAATATACACTGATTTTTGAGTAAGTTAGTAAACGCATACAAATAGTAACAAATGGACCCCAGGGTTCAAAAACCTAAAGTAGCCGAGTGAACCCTTAGTTAAGTCGGTATACTAAATTACATGTAGTAGTATAACGTACACTACACAAACGGCAAACCTATAGTACAGGACTTGAAGATAAAGAGCAAAACTTAAATAAATTAAAAAGCTTATCTCAATGAATACATCGAAGAAAACTGCAGTTTTTCCGTTCCACAACAAACCTGTGAAAATTTAAGATCACCTAGTTCTATTTTAAATAATGGCATTATACAAAATTTCATAATTATTGGTTTCGCAGGAAACCCCAGGATTTCTCATGAACTAAAATTAACCGCAACCGTCCTTTTATATTTACGTGATCGTATTGATGACTAAAACTTATCCTCGGGTTTTTCTTCTTTCATGAGTCCTAAATATATCGTTTCCTAAATTTACTGCAGCAGCTTGAAATAGTCAGCTTCTCAAAGTTCTAGCCGAAACTGTGGCCCCTCTAGCTATATTGAGAGGCCTGAGGCCATAGTATGTATTTATATGTAGCAGGTAAAAAATTTCTCTCACGTTATTAATATTATACAATAAACTGCTAGATTCTAGGCAGATTCTATTGCATTAATATTCAAGCTCCACCTGAAGCAGATAAATAAATGGGATGTCAAAAAGAAGGCGACTCAAGATTTGTAACCAATTTATCAATAAATAAGTTATCAATCAAATCATTGCTTCTTGTCCCTTGGCTTCTTGAGTAACTGTCGTCCAGTCCCAGGACGTCGTGCATCAGTTAAGGTGTTGGTAAGGGTGAGTCTTTGGGCTAGGGTATTGGTAAGGGTGAGTCTTTGGGCTAGGGTATTGGACATTGGTAAGGGTGAGTGTTTGGGCTAGGGTATTGGACATTGGTAAGGGTGAGTGTTTGGGCTAGGGTATTGGACATTGGTAAGGGTGAGTGTTTGGGCTAGGGTATTGGTAAGGGTGAGTCTTTGGGCTAGGGTATTGGTAAGGGTGAGTGTTTGGGCTAAGTTAAGGTATGGACTAGACTTAGTGTTAGGGCTTTAGTGGGGCACAAAGTTCTGGGGAAAATAAATGTCTTTCTATGACTCACAAAACAAAACACCCACTAATTTCTGAGGACATCTCTGATCTCGAGCACAACAATTAAGAATAGTTGAAACAAAAAACAGGATAAACTAACAAGTGGAATGTGGATGAACGGTGCAGCACAGGTGCAGCACCTCTGGACCAGCTTAACCGTAATCGCAATCTGAACACTAACAATGCACCACAAGTTTTATTTTTGTGAAATCACCTACAAAACAGATGAACCATTAAACAATAAACATGTAGTGATTGTTTTTGAAATGCGTGAATAAAAACAAGACAAACAAATGAATTTTTGAGATGCGTGTATAAAAACAAGACACACAAACTAATTTTAGACAAGACAGCATCAGACTTACTAAAGTTGTAGTATTCCAGAGTGAGTATATCTGGGACCGTGCTGTCAAGATCCGCAGAGCCAATACCAAGTGGATCCAACTTCGCTATGTGATGGCCAGAAGACTGCAGAGAAATGATCATTAATAAAAAATACTTTTTGAAATGGACAGAAAATTACGAACTGTAGTCAATGATTTATTATTATTTTTACAATTATAACTTTATAAATCGTCAAGATAATCCATATTAATTTCATCTATAAGTTTTATTAGTATATTCTGTTAGTAGTTTATAAAACTGATTTTATAACGTTTCACAACTTGTTGAATCATCTAATTATAATTATAATTATTTTCTTATTCTTATTCTTATTTTGATTATAATTACAATAATTATAATCACAATTACAATAATCCACAATGTTTTACAACACAATCTAGAGCGGGTTACATTAACCTGATATGCTCTCAGTAATCGTTGAAAGTTGTGATGTTTCAGAATCATACTCTGTCCGGCTCTGGTGCTTTGTATTGCATCGCCAGCCGAAGCTTCCGTCATTGGAACTGCAGCGCTTGGTGCGAACATGGGATAGACAGGCATGTTGGGTGCTGAAACATGCGCTTCTCCAGGTCCTGCTCCTCCTTCCGTCCGGGAGAAGAAGATTTGCCACGACTGTAATTTGATCTTCCGTTATCAGTTGAATGTTTTGTAATACCGTTACGAGATTAATGGAGGCTATGGAAAATAATCTTCCTCATCAATGACTGGATAGTGGATATGGTGTGAACAATTAAATATTAGTCATCTGCAGCTGCCATACTTAATACTTTATATTCATGGACAGGGAAGTCAATTCGTACAATGTTTGTACACAATGCAATAGTTCTATCGATAAAAGTTTTGGAATTCCTAAAATAGCATAATTTAAAGTTTTGCATGTTTTTTAATGATGCTTCTTGATTTTATAGATATATCTGATTTAAAATATAGCATACTTTTGAGAAATAAGATGGTCATGATTTTGTTAATAGTTGGCTTGTGCAATCTTTAATAAAATACCAACTATCACTTTGTCTTAATACCACAAAATGAGCCTCAGTAACAAAAAAGTGAAATAAAAAACATTACTTTGTGTACACTGGACGGATCTTCTCTCCAGCTCTCATACATGTCCTCAACATAAGTGGAGGATGATCCGTTGAGGAAGGGTTCCGCTGCAGCACTCGACTTGAATGCTGTACGCAGCACATGACGTACTGGTATACATCGGAGCAGTTTTCCTCTCACAGCATACATTGTTATCCAAGCATCTACAACAACTAAGTGGGGGAAAACAGTGAGTTAAATAAATGGAAATGTTACAGAACATTACCAGAGCTATCAGGTTAATATCATAGGAACAAGATGATTTTGTGTTTCATAACATTTTTTAATATTTATAACTTCCAGTTGAGAAATTTAAATGTATTTGCATTGTAATCATAAATATTTCACTCGAATTGGCTGATGTAAGATGGTAAATGGAGGGTAATCTTGGGATATTTGATTGTGAAGTTAGAATTTTGATTTAGATAAATTTTGGTGAAATCAAACTCAATTAGTAACATTATCAGTAGTTTTGAACTCCAGGCAGTAGTATAACATACACTGCATAAGTGCCACCCTTACGCTCCAAGATGCCACCCCTGAATTGAAGTTGTTTTCAGAATGTTCTATCATTGGACCCAATCAGTTACCAGTGAAAAGTGTCACGATACCCTCCATTTTTGAAGCAGAAGCTCCAATATATATGATATTTATAAAACATATAATCTTTAACATAAAATTGGGGGTTTTTACCGACTCCTGCATAGGTACGGTACATGCCAATTTGTCTGGAATCATAAGCTACAACACACTAGTTTTCAATGAATATCAGGATCTTTAAAAACTACATGTACAGTCTCTAACTTTTTTAAAAATAATTTTTTAAAGAGAGGCTGGGCCTGCTTGGCCCACGAGAGGATAGCATATGAATGCTTTGCCTACCTCTGGGGTATGGCAGTCCTGTGGGAGGATGCCGGTGGAATCAAGATGTGTAATCAAGGATGATGGTAAGTGTTGTGGGGTGTGTCATAGATGAACGCTTAAGTGGTGGTTGAGTGTGGAAGAGAGAGGCGAAATAAGACGGCGTTAAAGTAGTCGCTATGTTACACCTGTCTGGTCCAACTCCTCTTGCACCATTAAGCGTTTAGTGTGGTTTGCAAAGTTGACAATAGTGGAGATGTGTCTCTAACCTTACATTCTTGGGAAAACTAATTGAAACTAAAAAGCATCTAAGTCGGAATAACCTCAATTGACCTGAACAATTTGTTAATTACTACACTTTTGCCTTTTTTTGTGTACGGTGTAGTAAAAAGGGTAGTAAAAAAGATACACTAAATTACACTTTTTTACAACTAAAATTACACTAAACCAATTCATCTTCTCAAAATCTTCTTTTTTACTATTATTTACGGTTATTTTCCCATCAGTCTTCACATAGTACATTTCCAAAGGCAAAACAGTGGTAAAACATACCTTTGGTGAGAAAAAAGTCACTTTTTGAGACTTTTTAGGCTATTTTACACTACACTTTTTTATACTACGCTTTTGCCTGTGTAGAAAGTGTAGAGAACCCCCCCCCCCCTTCTATTTGTGGCATGTCTGGATAACTGTAATTGCTCAATAAATTCTTTGACAAACAGGACAGCAAGATACTTCGTCATCATAGTTGTTGAGTGCTCATGGATCTACCAAAAGGTTTCTCAGTAGACCAAACAGATAGTTGTTACTGTAGATAGGTTCCGACAACTAGAGTGCTGCAGCCCGCCCACTCACATAGTCACTTGTTAGACTCTGAGAAATATAAAAACAACCATGTTGAGGATGACCTGATCAATCTTTACTGGTTGGATATAAAGAAAAGGATTGTATTCAAAATCTTACTACTTTTTCACAAGTCCTTGCTAGGATTGGCTCCAACCTGTCTGCAAGAAATGTTCAGATATTTTAATTCTAAATTTGGTGAGCATAGTTAGAGCTTCTCTGTAGTGTATTCGGTTTAACTCTCTGCATAGTATTACCGATATCTTTTCAAGCACAAGGTACATTTCTGGGATGTTGAGATTAAATGCTGTCATGCTGGGTATACGTTTTATCTTAAAAGTAGTGTTATTAAACTTAAAATCATTATCAATATCTTCAAATTTTGCTAGAAACTACTATTACAGTATTACATCACCATACTGCAACTGTAACTTCTATTGAGGCTTCTTGACTGCAGGCTTCAGTCAAGGATCTCAATTTGCCTAGATATTGATTGATTGAAATAAATTGTCGTGCACATACAGAATGAATGGTTAATAATTTAATATATATGTAGACCAAGCTCTGTGCACGGGATGCTTCCTGGAAGAATCCAGTTCTTTTAGCGGGGCACCCTACCTAAAGCCAAATTGAGATATAATAATCATATTCCTAGGGAAATAATTAGAAATCGAATACCAATCAAATAATATGATATATAGGAGTAGTAACCATATTTACTATGCAAAATGCCCCAACCATATAGTGTAAATTTATATAAAATTCAAATTCCATATCATCATTAAACCTCAATAGTCAATATAATAGCCCAAGCAAAATTAAATAACTTCTTATATACCTTACTGTCATACTACAAATTAATTAAACATTTGAAATCTGTTAACCAGAGAATAAATTTCTAGACCTAATGCAAGTGAAATAATTTAGATGCAATAATGAATGCCTAATGTGAGTATCATCTGTCAATGTCCTTGTAAAACAGTCTGTACAAGAGATATGAGTAACTAATACAGAAGAAAAAAACAGGAAGTTGTCGTCTGTTGAAAAATAAATAAAATATCTAGAATATAAATTAGAATATAAAATAACATTCAGTAATCAGTCAATGTGTCGTCAATAAACTGTACAATTATCAAATGTTAAAACTGGGTGATACAGTCACCAAAAATAAATACTAAGTATAATAAGTTAATAAATTAAATGTGGTCTATAAAACTACCACTAGGTATAATAGGACAATAAATTAAAAGTGGTTTATAAAACTACCACTGTGGGAACCCCTTCTCTAGTTCAAACATGCCAGTCATGTGCAAAATCAATCAGAATGGTAAGGTGGTAAAAAAGGGAATATCCTTTCGATACATCAATTACATATGACTCAGATTTAAAAGAATTAGAAGATACTTAGTTATCGTCGACTATTATTACTAGATTTGTAGGTTTATAACCTACCAGGACGCGCGCCGAGTTGGACTCGTCGACGGTCCTGATGTATGGAACAAATATTTTACGAGTATCACCCGTTAATACTAGATGTATGTAAGAATTTGCAAATAATAATAATAACTTTAACTTTATCCCGTCACCCATGGACTTATTAATTAACGGCTGGTGGTGGTGTCATCGTTCGTCGTACTCAAAACGTTTCGCGGTTGCGAATGCCGGCCCATCGATGAAAATCTTTTTACTTTGTATTTTAACCATTATAAAGTATGATTAGTCGGATATAGTACTGAGTTCAAACAGTCCCCGAAACGAAAAAGCAAACATTTGATTTTTGTTTCGGCGACTGAATCGTTGATGGGCCGGCAAATATTTGTTGTCGAGTAGTGTTGAATACTCATATTAACTTGTAGCGCGATGCGTTACTGTGCCGCGCCGCGCACTCAATAAGGCTTCTCACAGCGACAGTAACGTGAATTCCAGGTTTCCAACTCCCAGCTGCTGGGAGTTGAAACTACCGGAGCGCATTTTTATTTGAATTCTATTTGGAGTCGAGCGCTACGTTATACTCTTACATATAGCTCGTTTCAAGACGTGATCCTCATTTGTTCAGTTTGTCTTTCGATTACGTTTCGACTTTTACTTTAAATCGTGTATGCGAATCTTCTTCATGAATCTTATGAACCAGCTGATTTTCGTAACGGAAGAGATATCAAGAATCTTTCTTTTGAGCTTTAGTTACGTTTCTTCTCAATTTTGATAGAACATGGAACAGTTGTCGTTTTAGAACTAAGAACCTGTTGTGTTTTGTAGTAATTAAGCAATCTTGGGCTGAAACCATTTAATTCATTAATTCCGTATGATCTATTACTCAGCAAATTGAAGGTCAGGAATCTTTTCATTTACATTGGGAACGGTACGATTACCAGCTTAATAAGCAAATACAGAAACTCGACTGACTTGTTTGAGTTTGTGTAATAGTCAGTTCAGTTACTAGAAACTAATGTCCTCTTTTACAGTAACTTCAAAACTGTCAACGCCGGTTTAAATGCTTTTATACAGAAACTGATTTAACATATGTACATATATATATATATTGTATAAGGCCCTTATAATAAGGGTAAGTCAAGATCACTGTCCAATTTTGATATTTCATTTTTCAATCATTGATTTATGAAGTAGCATGGTTGTTGAATGTTGACATTGGTTTAATAGGCTTGTTCGACTATTTAGGTTCTACTTCTGAGCAGCATAGGCCGATCATAACATATTTCCCCAAAATATCGTATTTCAATATCATTAATATATGTCAAGAGATACATTACTATGTTACCAGGCCGGCTGTTCGGATTAGTATCCATTATTGCTGAGATTAATTATACATGGTGAGTATATTGATAGGGCCTGTCGTGATATCATGGATCGCTTAGGTTCCACCAGGATCTGGTAGTCCTCATAATTCTGCGGCCTCTATGTTTCGTCATCTCGCACAACTCTTTAAGAATCTTGTGGATTTGGCATGTGAAAATTTGCAGCCTTCCAGACATTGATTGGGTTAACGAGGTGTCGTACGTCACCTCAAGATCGGGTGACAGGGGGCTGACCAGGCCAGAACCCAATTGATTGGGTCTTAGGTCACGTGATTATGAGCCTGAGGTCACGTGACTATGACGTCACCAGACCTTCCTCTCCGTTTCCCGCTCATTGGACCAGGTGAGCTTGCATGCATGTGAATGTGGGTGTAAGTATAGCTGTACTGTAGTTTATACCTAATTAAACCCCTATAGAAACCGAAAATTTATTTTCTGGCAGAAAGCTAGAAATTTACCAAAATATCGTCATTGTTTTAAATTTATTTTGATGACCATTCCTGACCTAAAATCGCACGAGAAATCGATTAAACTTGGTTTCAGAACTCAACAATGCTTCCTTATGTCTTAAAATCCATGTTTTATCAATACAATCAACATCTCGATCATGTAGTTAAACTTATTACTTAACGGATTCAAGTATAGTTACGCGGTA